ATCGATTTTTTTTTCATTTAAGCATCAAGAGTTGTATCATGTATTGCGCGGTTGCCCGTTTGATGGCAATCAATGCACATGCTTTACATAGGCGACTGGCTGCCGCTATTCCAAGTATAGACTACACCATGCGTTGAAGCTCATCAACCGGCCAGTAGAATTATGCCGCGCGTCCTGAGCCCATGAGGATTCCTTTAGAGGGGCAGGGCGTTTCTGCAGCGTCCCCGATTATTCTGTTCCTACCTACAGCTGGAGCGTACTGCTTCTACCAAGTGAACTACACCACAACCAAATTTTTTATTCTGGAAGAAATAGCTGAGGAAGATTACGTCGTTCACAACTCAACTAGAAATACAACGAAACTAGCTAACGTTTGGCTGAAATTTCGTGTATATAACTTGCACATTTTTGTGATCTCCCTGAAAACGAGCTACCGTAGTAATCACAACTTGTAACGTCTGAGAAAATTTTCGTACCTTATGCTTCTATGGCTGTGTCGAAGTCATAGGGATCCTTGTCTCCATCTGAAAATCTGAAGCTTCCCGTTCGAAATCCTCTGGACCTTTGGTCTATTGTTAACAATTTGGATATACGACGGTATTGTGAAAGCCAAAGGTGCCGCTCACTGCCAGGGCCGATGTCAGACTTTGCGAATCAAGCGATTCGCTAGCGTCTGCGGTCGCGTCGCGGCCAGCAGAATCGCTCGGTTGGCTGGTACCGCAACGCGACCGCGGACGCTAGCGAATCGCTCGATTCGCAAGTTTGACATCGGCCTAGATAGGTCTCCAGAAGCGGTACCATGTGAGCGACACTCCATTTTATTAACGGCCATTCCACATGGTGCTACAGTGGCAGTTGGAGGCCAGGAAAAGGGTTGAAGGAAGAGGGAAGGGAAACCAACCGCCAAGCAACCCAGGTCCGAATCAGCGACGAGGTTCCATTCTTACATGATACATGACGCCCAGGTGGAGACCTCATAAGTGGAAGTGGGCACAATGGGAGGCGTATAGCATATGCAGGAAAAGGGGGTCCTGGCGGCTGCAGGGGACAAAACTTACAAACAGAAATGTTGGGTGAAACGTAGACTGGTCTTCTCAGACATATCCTGACCAGTGACCCATTCAAGCACATCGACTTGTTTGAATGGAAGTTGGGTGCGTGGCGCATTTAGCAAGAGGGGTTGAACTGTATAAGGTATGAACAGTTTTGTTTTTCAATGATCTACATGTACCTGTCCTTTCTTTATCTGTTTCCTCCGCCTCCAGAAACGCCTTGTTCAGTTCTGAGCCTACGGCCGATTCGTTGAGCGCAAGGCCCTCTAGGTAATCTAAATAAATATTTCCAGCTATATATAAATGTGGAGTCTATATGGTAACTATTCCTAACAGCCTAACATCTGTGTAGTGAAAACCTGTTCGAAAAATTGAAAAAAAGCTCATACATAAGGTTTTATAGCCTTTTGTTCCATCTCTTTATACGGGAGAACACACTCCATAACAAGCAGTTGATTTTTCAAACGTCAATCGGTGGCAAAATTGACAAAAGTGGTGAGGTCTACATTGTTCTCTCCTACTTATCCTCAATCAACGAGAAAATGCAGTTGCGGTTACTGCAAGTTAGGGCATTTCTAACCCATATACGAAGTTATACGAAGTGGAGCCTGCGGCTTAATTTGACTCAACACGGGAAAACTCACCCGGCCCGGACACCGTAAGGATTGACAGATTGAAAGCTCTTTCTCGATTTGGTGGTTGGTGGTGCATGGCCGTTCTTAGTTGGTGGAGCGATTTGTCTGGTTTATTCCGATAACGAGCGAGACTCTAGCCTGCTAAATAGTGGCTGGATTTTTATGTCCAGTCTACTTCTTAGAGGGATAAGCAGTAACGCAATAAAAGCCATCAGAGATTAGAAACCAGCAGAATTCTGCTCTCAAGCGGACATTCTCTGCAAATTGCACCTCCATAGACCAATTCATTTCATAGCTTCTCTACATAAGGCTGATTTCAGACTCGGAGAAACCAGCGATTTCGCTAGTAGCGAAGGCCGCGAAGCAGCTACTAGCGAATCGCTGGATTCGCAAAGTCTGACACCGGCCTAAGACAGCCTAGATAAAGTATGTCTTTAGCTATCACCATTTTTTTGAATGTATTCGTCTTGGTTTTATACAGTAGTGGCCAGAAATTTATGAACAAACGGTTTTTTCATGATTTCTCTTTTGAAAGTCACTGCAACGTCTCCAAATTTGCAACAATTATTAACTACGTGTTTTATGATCCACACAGAAAATTTCAACCTTTAGCTCAAATTTGGGTTTAGAAAATTTTAGATTTTTCGAAATTAATGAAGGCAGGTGAAAGATCACTTGATCCGTTTATTTGATTTAAATAATGTATAACCCAACAGAACAGTCAAGTAAACAGTCACTAACATTAAGCAAGTCTAGCACATTGCCCAGAACTCTCTAAAGTATTGGATACATAAACTGGATTTGAATGCGGGGTCAACTAATGAACTCACTCTCTAGTGGGGTCTCTCTCTGTAGTCCCGTCTTTTCGTGGCTCTTTCATTGACATACGAATTTGTAGGTCCTCCCCTAGTGGTTCTGTAATGTTTGGCTCAAGAGTCTGGCCTGGCTGGTCTTTTAAAAGCACCCCATGCTGTCGAAACCACTCCTGCATGTGAGAGGCCCGATGCTTTGAGTCGCTGCTCTGCTGACAGACAAAGCCAGGTCGTGTGGCAGCCATGTCTACGGATACATAACATCTTCTAGAATCTAAGTCTATACTACGTATTCCTTAGTTCTCAAAGTCTAAGAAGAGCGCTCGCTGTGAAGTGGGTGGGAGTAGAATGTGATTGACTAAGTCTGAAAAGAAGGTTGACACAGGTTTCTAAGGTCATCTGGAATGACAAAAACATATTACTGATGCATGACAGCAAGGATACTAGTAATGTACGGCACCACGAGAGGGAACGTTTTGATCCAAAGAAACAGCTGCCAATTGTGAAACTTGGCGGAGGCTTGATAAGGTTGCCTTGGAAAAAAGTGGGACCACGCTACACGACTGAGGTAGCGATGAAGGCAGACGTTTGCTGTCATGTTTTGGAAGGTGTCTTGTATCCGTAGGCTTGGCTGCCGCCCGACCTGACTTTGCCTGTCGGCAGAGCAGCGACTCAAAGCATCGGGCCTCTCACATGCAGGAGTGGTTTCGACAGCATGGGGTGCTTTTAAAAGACCAGCCAGGCCAGACTCTTGAGCCAAACATTACAGAACCACTAGGGGAGGACCTACAAATTCGTATGTCAATGAAAGAGCCACGAAAGACGGGACTACAGAGAGAGACCCCACTAGAGAGTGAGTTCATTAGTTGACCCCGCATTCAAATCCAGTTTATGTATCCAATACTTTAGAGAGTTCTGGGCAATGTGCTAGACTTGCTTAATGTTAGTGACTGTTTACTTGACTGTTCTGTTGGGTTATACATTATTTAAATCAAATAAACGGATCAAGTGATCTTTCACCTGCCTTCATTAATTTCGAAAAATCTAAAATTTTCTAAACCCAAATTTGAGCTGAAGGTTGAAATTTTCTGTGTGGATCATAAAACACGTAGTTAATAATTGTTGCAAATTTGGAGACGTTCCAGTGACTTTCAAAAGAGAAATCATGAAAAAACCGTTTGTTCATAAATTTCTGGCCACTACTGTATCCCTGGACTAGTGACTGAATGAAGAAATCGTACTTGCATTAAATTGAAGTTGGGTGGCGTCGCGCATTTAGCAGAGGTTAACTGTGCTAAGGGTAGGAAAACAGTTTGGTCTTTTTCAATGATCCACATATTCCTGTTCTTTCTTTATCTGTTTCCTCCGCCTCCAGAAACGCCTTGTTCAGTTCTGAGCCTACAGCCGATTCGTTGAGCGCAAGGCCCTCTAGGTAATCTGAAAAAATATTTGCTTATAGATAAACGTACTCTATACTGTAACTATGCCTAACAGCCTAACATCTGTGTAGTAAAGACTGTTCGAAAAAATTGAAAAAAGCTCATAGATAAGTTTTATAGCCTTTTGTGCCATCCTTTATACCGAGTGGCATACTCGATAACAAGCAGTTGGTTTTTCGAACGTCAATCGATGCAAAATTGACAAAAGTGGTGAGGGCTGCATTTTTCATATGCACTTATCCTCAACCGAGAAAATGCGATTGTGGTTACTGCAAGTCAGGGCATTTAAGGGCAAACCCCAGGATTGGCCCGACTAGTAGGAGGGGTACTACTACCCGACTAGTAGAGGGATACCACTAGGGAAATTGCAAGGTCTGTAACTACCTAGATCACTCCAGCTTCGTCGAAAAAATTGCGCAGTTAGGGCGCTATTCCCACGGGCCGGCAACCATCGACTCCAATTTTCAACGCTCCCCACCCACCGCGAGAGGTGGTGAGATCATCGCCGCGTCTTCTCTTAAACGCGTGCTCGCTCTCGTGTATTTGTTGTCTCTTGACCGCCCTCCTCTCGACACTCGCGCACAACATCCCACTCTGTTTAAACGGGTCACCAGACCTTAGCCTTCACGCGTTTCGCTCAAGAATTACATCCTTGCTTTCCTGCCGCGGCCCGGGGGGGGGGGGGGGGGGGGGGGGGGGGGGGGGGGGGGGGGGGGGGGGGGGGGGGGGGGGGGGGGGGGGGGGGGGGGGGGGGGGGGGGGGGGGGGGGGGGGGGGGGGGGGGGGGGGGGGGGGGGGGGGGGGGGGGGGGGGGGGGGGGGATCCCTGCCAATGATCAACTCTAGAGCGCTGAGAGCATCTAGCTTCAAGCCCGAGTGTTGCTTTCGCCGTATCCCTCTAGTGCAAGGCGTGGGTTAATAGATTACCCCAGTGGAGCCTGCGGCTTAATTTGCCTCCTACGCGGGAAAACTCATTCCGCCTGGATACCGTAAGGATAGGCACATTGAAAGTTCTTTCTCGATTTGGTGATTGGTGGTGCATGGCTGTTTTATTTGATGGAACGATGTCCGTCTGGTTTATAACGAGCGAGACCTGTTGAATAGGGGCTGGATTTTTGAGTCCAGTTTTCTTCTCAGAAGGGATACAGTAACGCCATAAAGGCTTTCAGAAACAAGAAACCAGCAGAATTCTGCTCTCAAACGTGAATCTTCTGTAAATTGCTCTTCCATACTACAAATACAACTCGTATAACTTAAAGGCGGTGTCACGCCTTGGCGCATCCAGCGACTTCGCTGTAAGTCCCGCCGGGTCGCCAGAGCGGAATGCCGCTGAACTTGGCAAAAGTCTGAAGCGCCTAAGCAACTTAGGTAAACTTATTCTTCAGCCATCAGCTCACTTGAGTGTGGACTATACCTTCTGGTGTTAGGTTGATTCTTACCCTTTTATCAAATGTACGAAAACCTATGCCATTTTCGTGGCAACTGCCCCGTTATGAATCCCACAAACTCACCTTTGACTGCTGACAGTAACCCCTTCGTTCGCAGCGTGTCTTCAATAATACTCTAACAGCCTCGACAAATTTACTGCGATCCCCGCCCATGCTTGTTGGCACTGAAATTATAAACTCCATAATGATGCAGTATTTTACAAAAACTCCCATTTTTCTCAAGGCCAGCGCAGAAAAACAAACATTCGACATTTGTCTCTGACGGTGGCATACTGTACCACGAGATACTTCCAGTGACTGCAGTGCTCATTGGTGACGCTCCTCCAACAACGTCTTCTGAATGATTTTGCAGTGACTCGGCTAAAAATTGAGTAAAATAAGTGTAGTGAAGTCTGTGGAGAAAAATTTCGATTAGTGACAAGTTTGAAGGCAAGGGTCCGGGATTTTAGGTCGAAATTGAGCCCTTCTCCGGGAAAATGCCGAGTTATGCAAGCGGGGAATATGAAGACAACTCCAAGGATGATTTGGCAAGCTCGAGAAGCTAAGGCACAAGGAGCAGCACTAGTCCTGCCCAACACCATTGAGCCCACCCAGATTCAATGTGGCCTTCTAAATAATTACGTGGAAAGATTAACGTTTATTTCTGTTGTTCGAATAGGTCGTAAGAGCAATACTTAGCGAATTTCAACTACGAAACTCAACACTAAAGCGTATGGTTACTTAATAGTGAGGCATTGCCAGTTGTGGTAAGAGAGTTTGGGCGCCAGTGACGTCACCAATCTTGGAATCTCGTCCAGCGCGAAAATAACCTAGCAAAAATGGCCCCATTTCGCGAATTTTGAACCGTCTATTGGTATCTCTTCTCCACTGTACTACTTTCCATTTCTGCTTTCATCTTCAAGCGTGGGCACTTTTCAAGGCTTTCAGTTTGCTGAGTGCGGTGGCATATTTGCAGCCTACTACAGTTCACAAAGAAATGCTCCACACCCCGAATAACTAGGTATCCCCCACTTCGCGACATATCGACGTCTGTCTCACTGGGCGGTGGTGTATAGGCTGAAACTTCCATTTCTGCCGTTTTAACGCTGTTCGGTTCAATATCTGAAAATTCGAGTTGATTTTGACGCAAAATTGAAAGTATGAGTCTTTACTGCCACTGTGAACCCAAATAACCTCGGCCGCTCTGTCCTTGGGAGGGGGAGGGGCAGGCATTTAAAAGGGTCGATAGGTGACCATTGGACTAAAGGCTCAGGAGAGGAACGGTAGGAGAAACAGCACTGCTCAGCATTCTTCCTCAAGGGTCCCTTCGCTCTCCCCTGAGATTTAGTCCAGGCGCTATAAGTTGTTCACACCCTTGAATTTTCGTCCCCCCCCAAACGCACATCGAGCGCATAACCTCGTTTTTTTGTGCCCCACCCCCCCCCCCTTTCTACTGGAGGCAAGGAATTACGTAGTACTTTCTAAATGGTATATTTCAAATGGGGACGTTTTCCTATGAGTTTGAAGGCAAGAGAGGATCCCAAAAATTTCGTGAGTCTCCGTTCCGCCCGTGTCTAGGTTCATAATCTAAAGCAGCTTTCATACTTTGCACGCGATTAGGCGAGCGGGCTATGTATAAGGAAAAGGATACGTATCGATCAGGCGACTAGGCGAGTAGCAATTAGGGGAATAAACGATTAGGGGATCGTGGGCGGAGCAATCGAATTGATAGATATCGTTTCTTTCCGCTTACTTGCCTACTCGCCTAATCACTTATTGTTAGTCGCCTAATCGCCTAATCGATACGTACGCTTTCTTGTTAAGTCTCGCCCAATCGCCTGATCGCATATGCTGTCGCGGACTATGAACGCTGTCTAACGTGTATGAAGTTTATCAGGGCTTATCACTCAAGCACAAGTGAGAATTCACTTTTTCTTACAAAATCACTCTAGTTGGCCCACTACAAGTCTAACTCAGACTCCGTTGACATACCGTCCATATCGACAAATGTTTCACTGGCCGGCAACGAGTATGCAGAGTAATCATGCGAGACCGCCGTTATGAGGTCTTCATCATCGTCCAGTACTGGAAAAAAAGCCTTTGATGATAGCATTTGCGCCGATTGTCGTCGTTTTTGTACTTACTGGCTGTTGACAAGTCACTTTCGTCGAATCTTTCGTCCTCGGACTCGTCAAGAATTGCCGTTCTCGTGTCTACCATTTCATTATCTGAAAATGCGTCAGCTTTTTCACAAAATGAGGAAGTGAAAGGGAGAGGGAATAATACTTGGGTGCGCATGTATCGCGAAAGGGTTATTAATCAGCGTTGGATTGGAGGAAGGAGGGTTCCGCAGGCCATTGCAATGATAAGGAAATTTCTGGCATTTTCTCGTAGCTTCTTGATTTGATGCGATTGATGTGAGGCGCAACGAGCTTGCCTTGCCTTTTCCGACTTAATGAACCAGTTACAGATCAGAAGAGGCGAAGCACACGGCTTGCTCGTCGTCTTTGAAGCTCAGTGGTTGCGAGTCAATCCTGTGCCTGTAACGATACCTCTTATTATCACTCCAGTCCCCTGTGTCCCTCTATGCCATTTTCCCACTTTCCAAGGGTCATAGTGGTGCCAATATGCCACAGAACTTGATTCTACGTGGCACAGTTCCAGCTGACGCGCGGGGTGGGGGAGGAGGACATTAAAGTGAGTGAGCCACTTACAGTACTGGAAGTGAGCCTCGGAGAGGGGAATATATTCTAGAGAGGATTTAGCCGTAAGGATGGGAACATATTCTGGAGATGGATGAGAGCAATTCTTGTCCTCTCTGGCGTTTCTGACCTCTCCTGAGCTTAGCCCTAATGTCACCTACCAGCAGTCTTTCCGATGCCATTTTGAATGTCCTCCCCCTCTCCGCAGTGGCATGAGCGCCGCTCCAATTTCACTTCGAAACTAGAAAAGCAGCGATTATGATAGATCTCACAGGGGTTTGAGGGGACGTGGGGTCTCAATAGTACGCCAATGGCGAAAAAAGCAAAGAAATCCGTCAAAAATAAGCAAAATAGTACCCCTTTGATTGCCCTTTCATTTTCGACCATGGATGAGCGACGGTAAAGAATGACGTTGTTCGGACGTGTTAACCCCGATAGCCGCCATCATGCAGTCAGGGATTGCCGGTAGTGTGTGGAAAATAATAATAGAATGAGCTTGCATGATAAGGGAATGTCTTGATATCGTTCTTATCATGATGAGCATTGAAATCCTATTCTATTTTTTCAGTCTAGGGGGGCTAGTGGTGGCACACCGTGGCTACTCTGATAGCATGGTAAACGAACAACTCCCAGCACTCCCTAGCAATCATATTCTTAGAAAAGTCGAGGTGGCTTCATTTGGGGGGGCCGGGAGTTGAGTAGAGCCCACTCACGAGTACTTGACTAAGGGGGGGGGCCCCTTTTGGGAGCAGAAGCTGTCGGGTAAGCGGAAGCTTGCAACCTTGTTCTCCTGGCGTTTCTCTCTCTCTCTTCGGCTAGGATGCGAGTTCACTACAGCGCTTGGCAATTGCCCCGTTTTAATTACTCCGAGGGCATGAGTGCCCTCCATTTAATGACTCAAGATTTGCTGAAATACTCCTATGAAGTCTCAAAGATCTTCGTTCAATCCATGAATTAGACCCATTTTTTTCTTTTTTCCCAGACCGTGTCCGGGCTGCGGTAAGCGGGTCGAGCAGTGAGCAGAACTTTTGCTTACGGGACAAAAGCTTCACGCTCAAAATGCGAACGTTTGGGTATTGTTTTCTGAGCACAACTGTGGTGTGAAGAATTTACTGAAAGGTGCTCACAGATATCGTCAGCGTTTCCAACTGTGATCAACTCTTCGCTTTCAGACCATGAATATGCTGACGCCGATGCGGCTGACATCTCATCGCTAACTGAAAAGCAAAGGCGAGATACGAGAGTGTCGCTGTGGGTACTGGAGCTGGTCTGGTAGAAGGCACTCACAGTGATTCTCCTCTAAACAGAAAACTCCATCCGTGAAGTTTGAGTAGTTCGGAGTGAAATGAAATCACTAGCTATAGGCACTTTTATAGTCGTTGATATTGACCAATATCATTCCTTCCGATAAAAAAAAACAGCCTTTCACCGATGTACTGCGGAAAGGTGTCATATAGCTGATAAGTCGTAACAAGCAGACTAGGTTACCAGTCTTCGATCAAAATGCTCCGGAGCAATGGGACCCAATAAAGTCGTCCCATCTCTTTTATAAGTGACATAAAAGCAGCGTTCGCGGTGCTGAGAGGGTGATGAGTTAAAACACAAAACCAAGCGAAAAGCATAGTCGTTGGACAACCCCTCGACGTCTTTCCACCAATGACGATGACAATCTGTCGATGACGTATCAAACCCTTTTCCGCCTCACAACCAGCGTGACCACTGCCTTTAAATTCATATCGAACGCTGCCCTTGTTGAAGGCCGCCACCTGGAGGAGTTCATTTCGCGTATGTGCGCGTCCTAAAGGAGCATTTTACGGTGACCTGGTATGGATTGGTAGACCCAGATTTGAAAGTAGATATGGTAATGTTATAAAAGCATCATAGAAAACCAAAGGGCCTCCCATGACAGCGACGTACATGAATCGATGAGAAGCACCACTCGAAACCCACCTCATAATGGAAAACGGTAAGCATCGACAGGTCGACCGCGAGAGTGATGCATCGTCAAAATCTCATACCATAGAACTTAAGCATGTGTTTGAAAACATTGCTTATCGGTTTATTGCCTCTTCAAGCACTGACCTTCGACATACTGACGCCCAGTTTCTGGCAGCTCTGGTACGTATTAAGCACCGTTGCGATGCAACGTGCTGGAGTGACGCGGCCTAATGTGCTGGGATTTCATGTAAAAAGGGAAAAAGTGTAAAGATCGGTAGAGAAGGTAGCAACATACTACTAGGCTAATGTCGCAAGAACAACCGAGTTTCAGCCTCGATAATTTCGATACGAAAAGCCTTGGAAACTTTCTAAATATTCTAGGAAATCTTACACAAAATTCCGAGATGGTACCCGTCAAAATAAATAAAACAAATAGCATACCCAAAAAACAATAAAAACCTGAAAGTCCTACCTTTTATATAGGCTGAACGCACATTCTGCAGTCATCCGAGTGATGAAATCGCGTCCGGTTGCGCAGTACACCGATCATGGTTCGTGGATGAGGCTACGTGGCTCAAAATTCCTTGCCACTAGCAATCAGGGTCAACCGTCACGTTGGACCAATCGAATTTACGACCCCGCCCCCTCCCCCTTCTAGAGGGCCTCGATACGACCCTCCCCCTCAGGGTCAACCCTTCACCACGATCCCCTCCACCACCATGAGACTCAGGGTGCTCCCCTAATACGACCACCCTTCTCCCCTACCCCAATCATCATCCCCGCACAAACACACCTGCAAACCAACGCGACCAACAACCCAATCCGTTCCATGAAAAATCCTTCCATTACTCGAAACCTAACGCTGTCTCCAACCTTGCGAAATACGACCCCTCTCTTTTCAATCGCCCAAATACGACCCCCCCCCACCTCCCCTGTTGGACTCTGTCCAACGGACGGTTACCCTGCCCTCCATGCGTCCTTACTCATTCGGCCACACCAATGGTGTTCTCGATCCACCTTCTGTATTCCACCCGTCAGTCTCTCTTGCAGACACGCACTTCCTCAACGTCTTAGGCCCTTCACTGCCATGAACCAGCTATAAAAGGACCCTTATTTAACGCATTTTCAATAGTTTCTTTACAGATCTATCAAAATGTTCGCCAAACTTTTAATGCATTATTTTTTTCGCTTGGCAGCAAACGCCTCGAAATTAATATTTACTATTGTTCTAGCGTTTTTCTTTATGTTCAGTCTGAAGAAATTAGAATATTCAAAAGAAAGAATTGCAAGCCACATTATTTTTTCTGGCGAAAAAAAAAAGATGGACTACTGAGAAAACCGTGCCAGCAAACACGTTGACCGCCGTCTGTACCTTTCTTCATGGGACCATATAGCCACCTTCAACTCCTTTCCCGTAGTATCATATCACGCTAGAGCGGCATGCGCTTTTACGACGGAGGAGCGATACAGTGTAACGTGAGTCTTCTAATTATTAAATTTTCTCACCAACATAACGGAAATATGTAGAAATGTATCCTCGAGTCACAACTGAATAGCACTTCACCAATGTGGCAGTGCACCTCTTCCCCCCCTCCAGGCGATCAATTCAAAGTCCCACTTGGGAGACAGTCTTCTGAGTGATATCCAACCTAATGGAGCAACAGGAAGACTCAAGAGGTGTAAACGTTAATTTCAATTTGAACATGTTCGTGCCTTCAGCAGCATTCAGTCCACAAAACAAAACAACTAACAACTTTAGCCTGATGAAGCTTTTTGTTTCTCGCAATTCCCCAATCACAGCAAGAGTTGCTGAAAACTATGTGAAGAAGGACGATTTTCTGGAGGAAATAATGTCACTCCTTTCCGTCGGAATTAATAGGTCAGACCTAGAGAAAGTGTGTATGATTCGTAGCTGCTACGACATAAAACAATATTCTGCATAGAACTGGAAGCCCTCTAAGTATCACTCCACCGTTTGCTCCGGATTCTGACCTAATTTATAGTGGGCTCTGTACCCTTGCCCAAGTTCTATTCCTCATGCTTTATCCAGCTTCTCTGGCAGTTTTTCAGGTTTTGTCCCTACAAAAAGTTGCAGCATTCCCCTTGCGAGCTCGATTGCACCATCCTCGTGCTACTGGTTTTTTACCCTCCCACTCCACATTGTATCCATGTTCTGAACTTCTGCCAAACCTTGATTCCGGGGGCGAGTGATCAGCATAACTTTGAACTGAAGCCTCCTGAACACTTGAGATCACCTCCCTGTTCAAAAACCGTTTCCGGGCCACGTCATTCTTGGCACCGTGTCGGTAGCGACACATATCGGATAGACACATCAAACTATGTAATATCTCCCTAACGCATCTGGGTCATATTGTTCACTGATGGTTACCAAAACTTTGCCCACTTTTGGATCAATTCCCATTTTCATCTGTTTATTTTTGATCGCCAGCTTGCATTATTTCATAGAGCTAATTAAGATCTGATAATTATTAATAAATATGAATTTCCTCTGCTTACGCCAAATAATTGAAACTGTAGCTATGATGTGCGTAAAGTATTAATTCAATACCCATAAGCCACCTATCTTTCTTCCTTAAAATATATAATTTTTTAAATATGTTTTCAATCAAGACGAATGAGAAACACGTGTTGCAAATAATTAAGAATAGCTCATTCTAGCCTCAACACTTCTCCAGAAATTTCAGTTCTAAACTAGTGATTTTTCCAGATTCTAGCCGTAAAATGAAGGCAAAAGAAAATGTGTCAGTACATTCATCGCCCTATGGAATTCAAAAGAATGAGCAAGACCAACTCATACTGAGACAAGGCATGTGAGTATAACTTTACTTACTAACTGGTGTTAGGTGAAAGGTAAAGTAAACTATATTTATGAACATGTTTTTCATTCTAAAATAACTGTCAAAAATTAGGGAATCACATCAATGACATTGTTTGATATCGCATTTAATTCATGGACTTCTATTGCATGCGATATTCAATGGAACGTCGTTTTGTCAGCCTATCTAACAGTCTGTTCACAAACTGCTTTCCCGTATGAAAGATCCCGTACATTCTACGATGAAGTTAACGAAGTTATTAAAGGCATGCCCCAGGATCGCACTGGTGTGGCTCTTGCACACGAATGTGAATGTATCGGTGCCAAGTGGGCCGGCAGTGAAGAAAAAAGGAAAAGAATCCGTCGAAAACGCTCAGGTTGAGGGCTCACTCACCTTCCTAATTGGCTGTGCTAAAGGAACGAGAGACTAAGCGCGAAGAGGAGAGTATGGGGCGAGAGAGCGCATCAGATGAGAGAGCACCAGACAACGGCCTGATAAGAGAGCTCGTTCGCTGCAGCTCGAGCAGCTTACTTTGCAAGCCCCAAGCGCTTTATCGGTGGTTTCCGTGCACGAGAACGCCACATTTGTGATTGTCCCCTAGGGTTCTATACTTCTGACCGAAGAGAAGCGTTCACACGAGCCTCTGCCTGGGTTGTGCCTTTTAAAAAGGTCAGCGCTTACCTTTTCTCAGGGTTTAGAGGGGACGTGAGGGGGTCAATAGTACGCCAATGGCGAAAAAAGCAAAGAAATCCGTCAAAAATAAGCAAAATGGTACCCCTTTGATTGCCCTTTCATTTTCGACCATGGATGAGCGACGGTAAAGAACGACGTTGTTCGGACGTGTTAACCCCGATAGCCACCATGCAATGCCCGGCCACACACAAGTTATTACGGCATTACATGGGCAAGTTGGAAGATACAGCCGATAAAAGGGAAACGATCTCCCAAAATGAAAAGCCAACAGCAGACAGCTCGCCCAAGTCATCATCTGAACAAGTGGGCGTAACGCTGCTGGAGGCGGAGTGCTGCGGAGGTCCTGCTCAGCAACCACAGCACCTTTCGCCGTGGAAGCGCCACACATCGCTTCCTTGGCAGCCAAGTAATTGCTCCGTGTGGCGCAGGTTCTCCCCCGATGCGAAAATTCCTTATCGTAATCGCTTCCTTTAAAGGCTTGCGAAATAGAGCACGTTTTGAGTCTATTAAACCATAAGGTGAGGTCGCCGGTTATGGAAAAGCGAGTCAGTAATCGAAAGCGTCCCAAACAAGAGTTGAGACCCTACCACGTGCTTCCTTGCCTTGAACCGAGTATCCGCTTACCATCAGATCTATCCGTTTGGTATCTGATAGAAGACGAAATAAAAACAACCAAGATTCAAGACCGGCCCGTTCGAAACAATTGTGTTTACCCGAAGTAGTTCAAACGATAATGGCGGGCTAAAATCAACCTCGCCACCCACGTGCGGGGCGGAGTCACTAGAGGGCGTGCGGGATTTCAGGTTTTCTAGCTTGGATTGTGCCCCAACCACGCGTTTTATATAAGCCGCAATAACACAACATCGTTTGCCTCCTATGCCGCTTGCTACCGCATCCGTTGATGCCTATGTTTCTCTGTCGCAAAACCATTTTATTGTATTCACTACCTTTAGCGCTAAAGGTACAGAGCCGCCCACGAAGGACGAATATGTGCCGTTAGGGCATTTTTGGTTCGGGTAGCTACCCTTTCAACTTGTTTAAATGAGATTAAAATCTATTCCAAAATTTTTCATTTCTTTTCCAGTAAAGCTACAAAAAATCGACGTGATCTTCAAGGGATTCGAGGAATAGCCATCAGCGCAGTTATGCTGTTCCATTTCTTCCCGAAGTATTTCCCAAATGGTCACATCGGCGTTGATCAGTGAGTTCCATTATGCTTATGAGAGGATTTAAAAGGAAATACTCAAAAGAAACAGCACAGCTAAATAGAATAAATAAATAATAGTAAACGAAGAACATAGCCGAAACATCGCGCTTCTTGACTTGAACCTAAACACAAGGTTTCGCCATATATCACACTACACAGGCTCCCACGCGTACTGCCAGCTGTCCGTCCGGTCGAGTCAAATGTATTGTATCAATGAGAGGGAGGAATGGGGTGGGTACTTGGCCAAGTGAGGATTCGTAAACCAGGACGACGGATTTTCTGAAAAGTCTCGCAGTTATAGAGGCCCGAGAGACCCCATCTCCTAATGGGTACCAGGTTCAGCAACCATGAATACCCGATGTGCTACTGTACTCTGGAGCGAATCCTTGAAGGCGGATAATGTGGCTGTTTGGAGGTGAAGAGAGTATCCACCGGTCAAGAGAAATCTGAGAAAAACGACTCGAAACCCACCAAATGGGACTCATATGTTCTCATTAAATTCCATTCTGGGAGAGATTCGACGGTAAGCACGTCATAGACATGGACGTCTTACTTTGACCTCTCTAATCTTTGTCGTCACAGACGACGACTCCCACCATCGAGCAACCACAACCCGAGTTATCCCGTAGGAGGCGGACTCCGCCACAGCAGGAAGCGCTTTTCAGGGTTAGGCTAGCTACGTGGCGGGTCATTTGCTGCGAGACATTTCTCCGCTCGCTTCGTTCTTGACCTGCCGTACTTTTGTAGTAGGCATGCTTTCCTCTCTCTGGTGTCTACATCAAGTTCCACAGATTGGTGAGTGTGCCTTGCTTCAACAGACGAGTGACCGGAGCTGTATGGTTACTTCGCGCGGTATGGCTCGGTTCGGAGTTTTATCGCCGAAGACGTTGTTGTGGCGTGGTACGCACAAGTTGGTACTGACACTGGCCAGGTCGCTAGATGTAGGTGTGGGCTGCTGGAGTTAGAAGGCGACGGAGTTGCTTTCGTAGGAACAAAGGAAACGAGGGGGGGAGCAGGGGGGAAGTTGGCCGGGGGTGGACGTGTGTTTTTTCAGATTCTTCGGTCTCTTGGTTTTTGATGTCAATGCGGCTGGACGGAGGCGAGAAAGCGATCAGGAGGACGGGAATTAGCCATTTTTTTACTACCGGCCGCTTGAAGCGTATCGTGCCGTTGTATCTACTTGTGCTACTGGGTTGTGTTGCCGTTTCTGAGGCGTGCCTATTCGGCTATCTACATTCCACTAATTGGAATTCTTTTCCACTATGCCTCCATTTTTATGACGAATATCAAAGCAACTGATAGCATCAGGGAATATCACCATATGGTGAGTTCTTCATATCACCCCGATAATACTATTTTGTAAAAGTTGTTTTTTACTCGCAAATCAGTGACATAATGTTGGCGCTGAAGAAAGCTCAAAAGGGACAAACTTACTCAGCGTTCAAAAGCATCAAACCTCCGGCACGGACCACTGTGTTCCAACTGCGATGGCGACCCATGTTTGGGCTCAAAGCGTGTCAGGGAGGGTCGGGGCTCGTGACTGACCCGAAATCCGCAATTGTATGGACAGCAAGCGTCAGTGAGAGCGCGCACTTGGTAGTGCCTACACGTCATCAACTTGATGTGTTGTTTCGCGCATATGAGCGCTTCGTTCGCATGTCACAAATCGGCGTGACGTGAGTTAAATCCTCCTCCTTAGAGGTGATGCATGGGGATGCATTGCTGCGCGGCAGTTAACTCGGAAAACTTTGCGCACGAGCCAGACAGATTTCCTCATTCTAAGGTGGGATACCGCGCAAGTTGAGAGAGACCTTCGCTTCTCCCCTTCACTTGATTTTATCAGCTTCTTTTCGTTCTTATCCCTTTTCAGCTCACTTCACGCTTCAAATCGACGAATTACCATAGTGACCTGATTCCCGGAGTTGTGCTTTCAAATTGATGCTTATAGGATACAAAAGCAGTGCTACCGCGCAGGTAGCAAGGTTGTGAACCGAGGGGATCGCACCTGATAACAACTTGGCAGTTTTGCTGTCTCGGAAATGAAAGGAATTCCAGAATACTCGGAGAACCTTTAAAATTTTCGTTTTATCGCCTCAGCGTTTTAATCTTTGAATACCCCCTCCCTCTATTTTTCTCCCCAGCACCCGCTCGGCGGACGCTTTGTAAGTGGGAGTTTTCGCTGCAACACCAACTTACCCACCTTCGAGGAAGGGCTGCGAAGACCTTCAAACGGTACAATCCCAGAGTACCATGAAGATCACCAACTTTACCTAGCGCAATGACTAAGCCTCGAAAAAACAAGGGTTATGGTTCCATAGTGCTTGACTATGATGAACGTAAATAGAATACTTACTTAACACATGTTGAGGTTTAGCTAATCGGCACAAGATTTCTTCACCCATACGTGGTCTATATCGGTCGAGATGCAATTCTATATTGTATTTCCAATACTTTTCCTAATATATAAATCAATCTATACTC